AGAGAGAGAGAGAGAGAGAGAGAGAGAGAGAGAGAGAGAGAGAGAGACCCTATAAAAGAGTGCCTGAAATTTAGAAATAATGACTCAGCACAAGGCAAATAAAACAATCAAGTATCAGTTGATCAAATGAAACAATACTGAGCTCCAAAATAAAAACTTCAGAGCAAATACAAAAATAATTATTTGGGGGCAAAGCTATTTACAGTAAATGTATAAATTTATTCATCCCCCACCTGGGGGAGCTCTGATACTGAACATTTCTAATCAACATGTTAAATTTTGTTTTAGTATATAAAATGAAAGCTGAGATTCATTAATCTAAAGTAATTTTAGATTAATGTGGATTATTAGCATGATGTATTTGGAACAGAAAGAGTGCTGGCTAGTATACAAGCATTCCATTGGCTACATTACATATAGAATGCCAAGGGTCACACAGGGAGGGTAGATCAAAAGCACAATATGGATTACAAATCAGTTACAATCATGTAGGCTCATTATATATATCAGGCAACAAATCCAGAAGTAGTCCTCAATTTACAACCATTTGTTTAATGATTGTTCAATGTTACAAAAACTGAATTAATACCAGTCCTTCCACTTTTGCTCATTGCACCATCTCTGGGTCAACAGAACATTTGGAACATTTGATGAAAGTTCCAATCCTTTTTGTGGCCATAAGCCAAGGGCCTATCTGTACAATAGCCAAATGCTGGATTTAAACTACCATCTATTCCAGCTAGCATGACCAACAGATATGGATGATGGGAACTTATAGTCTAACTATTTCTGGAAGACTATGATTTTTGCCTCTGATACACATTACATTTGCACTGCAGAAGCCACCAAAAGGTAATGTTGGGTAAGCAATTTTTCATCAAAGAACATTCCAAGTGCAGATGGTACTGTTACACAGGTGGAATGAATAGGATAGATTTCTGAGAGAAGGTTATTCTTTTTCTTTGCATTCATGCTGAAGAAATTCAGATCAAAACACCATGCCCTAGTCCTGCCTCAAAGTCTTCTTTCATTAAAATGTAATCATGTGTCAGTCTTTTTAAACTAGGTCATACAAATGCAAATATTTGCTTTTGGAGTTATGACGCACATACCTGTGATGCTGCCTTCTCAAAGCCATCTGGATTCAGAGACGGCATGATGTGGATACGTGTACTATGGATCAAATTAATGATAGTCTCATTTCCCTTCTGATATTCATT